GACAGAGGCCAGCATTCGGGGACACCTGTGTGCTCCCCAGGGGCCAGGGCCCACGTGGTCTGGCCCTGCTGCTTCCACTCGGGCTTGGGGTAGGGGGATGACGGGTGGTGGACTTGCCCTCCCACCGTGGCTTCCTCCGTTTGGCCTTGTGCTGAGCAGCCCAGGCCAGGGCTGAGGCATCGAACGAGCTGCCTCTGATGCTGCGGCCCCCCAACGTGGGGGGAGGGGGCTTCGTGTCCCAGCAGGCCAGGAGGTTCTGCAAGAGATGGCTTGTCACTTCAGAAACCTGCTCTCAACAGAGCTGGGAGCCTGGCCCCCTGCAGGGCCTGTCACCCCGTTGACAGCAGAACTGGAAATTCAGCCCTTGGCCTTGTACGCTCTTAAACGGGGCATCTGAGCGGGACCCACCCCGTCCTTTGTCCCAGACAGAAGGGCTCCCCTCCCACCCAGCTGGTGTGTGCACAGGGGCTGGCCCCTGCCGTCTTGGCACCCTGGACCTGCAGCGTCCCACCTGCCCCCGGGAACCCTGTAGAGGCCACAGGTTGCTGCTTGGCGCCAGCCACGCCCAGGCAGTGGTGCTCCTGGCCCTGGGGTGGGGGTCACAGGGGTTTGAGCTGAGGGTTCTGATGGCTCTGGCTGAGGTTTGCCTCCCCCTTCTCTCCGAGTGTCCCCGGACGGCCACAACGGCTGATCACGCACTGGGTGGCTTAAACCACAGAGATTTACTCTCTCACAGTCCTGGAGGCCAGATGTCTGAGAGCAAGGTGTCTCAGGCTGGGAGGTGTCCTTCCTGCCTCTTCCAGCTTCTGGGGGCCCCAGGCGTCTCTCAGACCGTGGTCATATCACCCCGGTCTCTGTGTCCATCTCCTCTGTGTGTGTGAGTCCAGGATTCTGTCTTAACGCAGATACCAGACTTTGTGTCAGGGCCTCTGCACTGCAGTACCTAATTTTGTAACATATTTCACTTGCAAAGACCCTGTTTCTAGATGAGGACCTGTTCCCGGATTCCCGGTGGACGTGATCTTGGAGGAAACCAGTCTCTCCAGTATGCTTCCTCTGTCTCACCAGGCTCCCCCTGCACCCTGGGCCCTGCTCCAAATCCCCACCTCCCACCGTTCACCAGCTGCCCCAACCTGGTGTGTCCCACCTGAGCACGTGGCCTCAGTGGTCAGTTGGTGAAGAAGGGCTCCTGAGGGACCCTCCCTCGGAACCCTTTCCCTCGCCTCCCCTCCCCCTTCCTTTGCGGCGCACTGGCGGACCCAGTGTCCAGGGGCACATGCCCCTGGGGATCCTGAGAGCTGAACTGTGCCAACAAGCCCAGCCCGGACCTCTGTGTGGGGCCAGTGCCCCCAGGAGGTTGGCTCAGTCCCCTGTCCCTTCATCCCTCTGATTTCAGCACACACTTTCTCGGCTGGGCATTTCCATCTGGGAGCAGAGGAGTCTCTCCAGGGTGTCCCCACCTGGGCACGCCTACAGGGGATGACCCCAGGCTGGCTCTAACCAGTTGGGTGAAGAGGGACTGGTCCCCAGACATCTTGGTCGGCTAAGCTGGGGCCTAGCCAGGCCTCCAGTTTCCATCAGGGCCTTTTCTCCCATCCCAGGACCCCAGGGCCATGGCTCAGAGCCCAGCAGATGGTAGCCGGGTGTCTGCCATCCTGTGCCATGTGGGAGACCAGTGGGTCCCTGATGCCTGCAGACGGGGTTCCTAGGGGACACAGATGAGGTATCAAGTGGCCAGCGGAGCCTGGGCACCACCAGGCAGAGGGTCCGGGGGGTGCCTGGGGGGCCTGAGGAAATAGGGTCCAACAGGCCCAGCCGCTAGCCCTGGGGGCACCTGAGGTCTGGCCAGGGTGGCAGGGCCAGGCGGGCTCAGTAGAGGGGCAGGGGTGGCCGTGGTCAGCGGCCAGCTGGGCACGCCCGAGGGGCCAGGCTCTCCCAGACGTTGCTCTTCCCACGTTCTGCTCCCCTCCTCCCCCGTTGTCCAGTCTCAGCCCCTAATTCCTTGATCTTTCTCTTTTACAACGACTCATTCAAACCTGAACTCAGAAGGAAATCCTGCAGCACAAAGCAGGCTGAAGGGCAGGCCCCTCCCCGAGAGCACCTTGCGAGCACCCCGCCCCACAGGCTGTGGGACTCACACCTGAAAATCCACGCTGGGTGCCCCCCACCGGTCACACTCCCCACCACCAGACCAGGCCGGAAGGTCCCCTGGGGGTGTGGCACGTTCACCCCCTGGAGCTCCGGAGCTGGGGGCAGGGTCCTGATCCCAGGACTGCAGGATGGAGGAAGGTGGGGACATGGAGGAGGGCTGTGTTTGGGGGCTGCCCCAGTACTGGGTGGGTGGGGGGAAGTGTGAGCAGGAAGCCCAAGGCTGTGGAGGTGGGGTGGGGAAATGATGGGGAGGGGCACCAAGGGATGGGCCCTGGGGGCCCGGGGTGGGGGTGGTGGGCACAGTGTCCCTCCTCCCCAGCCCCTGACAATCAGGAATCCACTTTGTGTCTGTGGACTGGCCTCTTCTGGACGTCTCACATCCATGGAGTCACACTGTGTGTCCTTCTGTGTCTGCTTCTCTCCCTGAGCGTCGTGCTCTCAGGGTCCGTCCACGTGGGAGCGGGTGTCAGGGCTGCTCTCCTGGTCATGGCTGAGCGATGCTTCCGCGTGTGGAGGGATGCAGTCTGTGTCCATCCTCCATCGATGGACGCTTGTATTGCTCCCGCCTTTCGGCGGCTGTGAGCCCCGCTGCCTGCCGTGGACGTGCATGTGTGGGCCTCTCATAGATGCGTGCATTTGTCTGTCCTGGGTGGGAGCCTGGGGACAGAATTGCTGGGTCTTTGGTGGCTGCCTCGCCGTCCGAGGTGCTGCTGACCCCCAGGCTCCACCACTTGACACCCCTCCCACTGTGTCTCCTTGGCCCTGATCTGTGTCCCTGGTACCCAGCAGCCACGTTGACTCTCAGCCATGTCCCTCCCCTCTGCACATCCCCTCCAGGTCCAATTCTCAACCCCTGCTTGGTCAGAGAAGCCTCTTGGGGTCCCCAAGGCATGCCCCATCTTGTCTTTGAAAACACAGGACATCCCTGCCGTGACACAGAACCCCCCCAGTCATGGCTCCCCGCAGGTCTGGAACCCTCACTACAGGGACAGACCTCTGAAAGGTTGTGTTGCCCTGGACGGTGGGTGACCATACGTTGCCTGAGCTCTCTGGGGCTGCCACTCAGAACGGGGTGCGTGGGACGCCGTGCTGGCTGGGCCTGCTGCTGGTGGGGGTCCCCCATGGGTCCCTGGGGAGCTGCCCATGCCCCACCATACTGCTCAGTTGTGGGCTCTGGACGGGGCTTTGGGGGGAGCAGCCCAGTCTCTGTGGAGTGCCCGCTAATGGGAGGGGGTCGGCTTTGAAGGCTCCTGGCGGCCAAGAGTGGGACGCCATGGCAGCAGGGGTGCCAATAGAGCTCAGTGGGAGGTCCTGGGGGTGGTGCTTGCTGCCAAGATGGGACGGTGGGTGACTCCAGGGACAGAGCGAGTCGCCTGCGCCACATTCAGGCTTGTGAGCTTTTCGCCCAGCTCTGTCCCAGGTGCTGGGGCAGACCCTTCACGGGGTGGGGTCCCCCAAGGAGCTTCCTGGGTCCTCCACGAAGGCAGCAGTCACTTAACTGGGGGCTTGGGCTCTGCCGAGTCCTGCTGAGCCTTGAGCACACACGCCAAACCCCCAGCCTCAGACAAGCGCACTGAGGCTGAGGGGAGCTCAGCGTCCTGGTTGTCAGTTTTCCCCGCCTTGGACAGCTGAGCTGGGCTTTGGCCGTTTGCCTGACCAAGACCACGGGTCACAGAGCAGCCGTGCGTTCACTGCGGGTGACCCCTGTCCTTCCACCCTCACACGGTGTCCTGAGTCCCGCCGGGTCAGCCTGTGGGAGACTGGGGGCCGTGGGAGTGGTGTCCTGCCAGCAGCGCCAGCTGGAGTCCTGAGCAGCCTCCTTGAAGGTCTGAATGCTTCCATGGGCTGCAGCCTGGCCTCTGGGCCCCTTTCCCTCTGGGCCTCGGGGTGAGGAGTGTGGCAGGGGCCAGGGCCCGGGAGAAGGCTGCCCGCCCCGCCCCCACGGGATTGCACAAGCTGCCTGAGTGCAGCAGTGATTACTGGAAGTCCTGAGGATTTCTTCATTCAGGGCTGGGCTGGGAGTGGCAGCCGCCTCCCTTTCCTGCCTCCCTGGGTGATTAATGTCTTGGAGCTGCTCCCTGAGGGGCACTTGGCCGCCCAGGGACCCTGCTGTCTGTTGCGGGCAGTGGGGCCTGGGGGACCTGAGTCATAGGCGGGTGGGAAGAGCTGGGAATTGTGCACGCTGGCTTAGGGTCTGCCGCGTTCTCGGTGGGGACCCCGTGCATCCTTAGCCTCAACCAGGTTCTGGGGCCTCAGCTTGGCCCCCACTGCCCAGAGACCCTCAGCGTGCCTGACCTGAGGCAGAGGGACAGGGCTGGCTGAGGGCCAGGCAGGTGCCCCAGCTCAGAGGTGCCGGGGGTGCAGCTCAGCTGCTCACACTGGGGTCCCCGGGGGTCCAGGCCCTCTTCGTGGGTGGTGGGAGCTGCCCCCGTGGTCACGTTATTCAGGCAACCTGAGAACAAGGGCGGGAGGGGCAAGGTGTCCCCTTTCCAGAGGTCCAGTCCCAGTGTTCCCAGGAGGGGCAGTGGGTGGGTGGGGCCTCTCGTGGCTATGAGCCTGGACCAGGAGTCCCACCATGGCCGCCAAGGGAACTCCCTCTCCCCAGCACAGCTCCCAGGAGGCCGGGGAGTTGAGGGGGCACCCTGGCAGCATTGGAGTTGGGGCATCTCTGCTCTGCGTGGGTGGGGCGGCCGGGCAGGCGCGTGCAGGTCTGTGTGGTTCAGCTCAACGGAGGCAGAGCTTGGGGGCCCCTCCGCCCCAACCCTGCTCCCTGTGTGCGAGCCTGCCCTCTGTCCCTTGTCCCTAGGAGGGTCAGAGAGCAGCCTCAAAATGCTCTTGTCCTTCCCCAGGTCGTGATGCCGCCGCCGCGGAGCAAGAAGCCCAGATAGATGCCCCTGCGGCCCGGGTCGCGGAGCCGCCCGATGCTGGCAGCGCGGCCCGCTATGGACGGGGAGTTCCCTCAGCACGAGCCCCCACCAGCCGGCAGTGT